TCTAGGGACGGGGGTGCATGAATGAATCGAATCAACACCCGAAAGAGAGGGATTCCAGAGACTGTGCTGGTATGGGACGGTACAGTTGGGAATGGCTTATAAGAATTAATTGGTACTACCTATACTAACAAGATGCATCTGCTTTTCGGTAGCCCGGATCGGAAGAACTCCACAGTTAAGCGTGCTTGACTTGGAACAATTCTGGGATGGGTGACCTCCTGGGAAGTTTTCCCGGGAAGTGTGCGAGTGAGGACAAAGCACGCTGAAAAGTCTCATGTTAGTGTGTGGGGACAGTCGTTGATCCTTGCAAGTTGTCAGGCGTTACACCACCCACCCGGTGGTACTCTTCCCTGGGAGTTTCGTTCACAATTTGGCTTCACAATGAAATCCCAGGAATGTGATTTATCCGAGAAAATTTTCACAATCCTTATATCAAATGTGGGCAAATAAGATTCTCAATGTCAGTTTTTCGGGAATCTAAAATTTTTTCATGTACCAAACACTCCCTAAATGAAATTTTATATAATACATCAATATCATAATAAATAAGAGAGATACAGATAAAGATATTAACTAAGTTTGTTTGTATTTATATTACAAACTTTTGACCCATTCAACGCCAAATTTGAAATTCTTTATCGAAAATTTTAACAGTTTCATCATTATAATGAATGGGGTTGAGTTTCTAATGTTGCAGGAAAACGCAACTCCTTCCAGCACACACGCTACAGTATAACATATTATATTTTTTATTTTATTTTTTTATTAAAAATGGGCCCCAAATCTAAAGTTCAACTACAGCAGGAGATGTGAACTTTCCTATCACAGGAGAACTAAAATACCCTATAATGAAATGGGACATGCAAGGGTCATACTATCCAAGTTGATATAAGAGGGTATACATCTACATAGGAGACGAATCACTATGAGCCATTTGGCACACAGATATTCTTTCGCACTTTTTTTTTTTAAATGGAGAAATCATTTGAATCTAGATTTTTATTAGTATTTTCATTTAAGTCCCAAAAAAATTTTCTTTTATATTGGATATAAGTACATCCGTAGTATAAAAAAAGTTCCCCCACCCAACTGAAATTTCTTCAATGCAGCAGGAATACCTAAGTCGATAATCTTTGTTTTAAACGGAGAAAGTTTTCTTCTATTTAAATCCATATTTTTATTTGTATTTTCATTTAAGTCCTAAAAAAATTTCCTTTTTGGATTGAATGTAGGTATATTCGTTTTACTAAAAAAGTTCTCCCACCAATGATTTTTTGGATGAGATGTAGGTACATCCGTAGTACCAAAAAAGTTCACGCACTCAACAAAAATTTTTTTAGTGCAACAGGAGTACCCAAGTCGGTATTCTTTTTTTTTAAATGAAGAAAGTTTTCTTCCATTTGAATCCAGGTTTTTTTTTGTATTTCTATTTAAGTTCCAAAAATTTCCCTTTTTGGATTGTGTAACACCCCGTATATATCCGGTAATGTTATCATACTATCGTATTAAGCAGCGTTTAATTAAAAATGCGGAATATCTTTTTCTTTTTAATTATGATGTCATTATCATTACCAACTTGCTTATTAATCAATCAAAAAAGCATCGCCTGTATGTAATTGCAATAAAACAGCTAACTGAAATACCTCATAAAATAGATAATAAAAGTGTGTCTCTAGAAATCACGGAACTATCACAAGTAGTCCGGACCAACTACCACGTTATACAACTCCAATCTAAAAGTACTAACATAAAGTGTCATAGACAATCCCCATGCTCACTCAAATAAGGCAACACGCCCAACATCAATCTCAACAACAACATAATCATAAATAGCGGAAAACATAAACAATATCCAAATCCAGTCATGGCAGCAATACAACATAATATCATCAACTAAGCTCTGGCCTCCTGCCGCCAGAGGCATCAGTCACCATACTACCTGATCCTGAAATAAGCATTCCCCAAACGTGGGGTGAGATCTCTAAACAAGAAATCTCAGTAAGACAAGGGATCCTCAAGGATCTTCCACCCCAAGCTCACTTACATGTGCAATATAAGTTTAAAAGCAGTTCATCAATATCATTTCTAAAACAGTGTAATGCAGCAGATAATCATGTCATGTGTGTCAATTCTATTCTACTGGCCAGAGAAATGCAGGATTTATATACGCCAAATACCCACACTAGTGCAAGACGCCACTTGCATTCACCCCGGATCACCATATCGTATGACGCCACATACTCAGGCTTACCGTCAAGATGAAACAACACATGCATATTAAAAGCCATTACACATAAAACTCAACAGCATTTCAAATATCCAAAGCATGTAACACAACATGCATATAACCATACCCCCATGGGACATGGTGGAACCACAATATGGCTAAACCGAGGACACGAAAGCTTACCTTGCAAGCTAACACCCAAAGCCAAGAGTCCACAACTCAAAGTCCAAACACAACAGATTCACAATCTGTTCTGGACCAATACTATATCAATAATAATACTCTACAAGTATATAACTTAAAGACAACGCCTTTTATTACGCTTTATGTCTTAAGGCATCTCACCAAGCCATAAGCCCTTAATCACTTAGATTCTGACTTAGATAATTAATTACAGAAGTTCAACTTCATCACACTAGGGTCCACAAACCCAAACATCAGTTCTGGATGAACAGTACGCTACTGTTCATCGCAAACCCATAATATCCGGATATTCCTCGGGACCATATCCGGATCAAACCCAAACATCAGTTCTGGATGAACAGTACGCTACTGTTCATCGCAAATCCATAATATCCGGATATTCCTCGGGACCATATCCGGATATGCAATATCCGGATATCTCACTGGACATATCCGGATATGCAATATCCGGATATCCAGAATCCCATATCCGGATATCTAATATCCGGATACCCAAAACCCATATCCGGATATCACATATCCGGATACCATATCCGGATATCCAATATCCAGATATTTCACGGGCACATATCCGGATATTTCACGACAGAATGCAGAAAATGCATTTCGTGAAGATATCCTTCCAAGGTTCCATTTTTAACACTTAATTACGTTAAAGCATGCATCTTTATACTGATTAAGGTTCACACCCCAGTTGGTTACTTGATTAACTCATTAAACATGCAAAGATCACACCTTTAACCCATTAAAACACAAGCTCAAGGTAGGTACAACTCACCAAAGCTCAAAACAGAGGATCAATGGCTCTTGGAGCTCACCACACTGCCTCTACAGGTTCTGGAATAAGGTGTACGAAAATGCAACACAAAAGGTTGGTCCTTTCTTCACAAAGAAGCTTCTTTAAGCTCCAAAATGCCACCACAATGGCTCAACACTCTCAACCCCCAAAGTCAGCAACCAAGGACCCTCCAAACAGAGGTAAAAATCCAGAATGATGCTCCCAACACACTCACCATAGTGTTTCCCACTCACTCAAGGTGTCTACAAGAAGAAAGTGTGAAGAAAATGGCTTCAAGCCTCAAGAAAAGAGAAGAGAAGCCTATGGAACAGTGTTCCAAGGTTCTGGTCAGCCACTCTCACGCACAAAAACTGAGGTCCTAGGGTTATGTGTCAATCATAAGGCTATATATAGTGGTTTAACAATTAAACGCACACTATTGACTTTAAATGCTACGCTTAGCATTTTAATCCAAAACTTTGGAATCTGAAACTACACATTTTTACAAGAGTTATCATATTTTTCTTATAATTTTCTGAGCACCTTTCCGGTACGCGCTTTTCAAAGCCAGTAGTTTCTAGCACCAGTTCTCATTATTTGGACTTGAAACTCGTTTTACAAGTCCTAAATATTATTCTAGTAATTATCATGAACTTATTATAATTTTACGGGATACTTTTTCGGTACACATTTATACCGACTAGCAGAACCGGTATCTACACTTTTCTTCCGAAAAACGACTTTCAGCATTATTACTCACTTACTATAATTATTAAAGCCTCATAATAATTATTAGGGTCAATTATGAAATCATTTTTTATTTTGTCATAATTTATTAATTGAATTCCTTAATTAACGGTGCGGGTTCTTACATTCACCCCACCTTTTTAGGATTTTGACCTCAAAATCAGTAACATACCTGGTCGAAACTCGGAGTACTGCCGGAGAAGCTCGTCCTCACGCTCCCAAATACACTCCTCAGGAGTTCTTCCGGCCCACTGCACTTTGACCATCGGAATGATCTTGCTCCTCAGCTGCTTCTCGCCGCGATCGAGAATCTTTAGTGGTCCGACGGGAGTCTTTAGGTTTTCCCGAACCTCCACATCATCCGGTTGCACCACGTGCGATGGATCTGCTATGTACCTCCGAAGCCGAGACACGTGAATCACGTCGTGGATGTTAGCCAGGTTCGAAGGCAAGGCAAGCCGATAGGCAACAGTTCCTACTCTACCAAGAATCTGGTATGGCCCAATAAACCGCGGGCTCAGCTTCCTCACTACGAGTGCCCGTCCAACACCGGTGACAGGTGAAAGTCTCACAAACACGTGCTCACCCTCACTGAACTCCAGTGGACGATGCTTGACATCGTAGTAGCTCTTCTGACGATGCTTAACTAAGGCGGCATCCCAGGTACTATATAAACACACGATATACCACCAAGGTACGATCATCCTTTACTTTAACAACATAACACACCTGCCTCTGATACTGACTTAAGCATCAGAATGTCTTCGCAGGTACCCCCCATTTGGTGCAACGTGAAGGACAAAGGGCTCAAGCTCGCTCTAACAGGAGTACCTGGCCTAGGCCAATAACCACTGAAGGAGTCTCAACCGTGTGTGATTGGGCTCAATACGTATCGGACAGTCCATACCGTATTTGGTCAGATCACACGTATAAATCTTGATTTCTTTCCAGAAAATCAAAATCACATAACCTTGCAAGTAAATGACCAGTAAATTAGCAAAGCATTGAAACGATACAAAACAAACTGAAATACATTTAGCAACAAAAAAGTTAAACATCTATGTGTCCAGTCATATCAAAAGGGTGCTCCCATTCCCCAACAAGTACAAATTTAGCTCATGATTCCAGAAATAAATACAAACACTGAAAACTTATTTTCTTACATGTTTTCTTTTCAAAAATATAAGAAAATATAAGCAGAAAAGACAAAGAGAAGGATGCTCTCAGCAGCTATGTTCTAGGATTGGTCTATAATGGTGAGGGGTTTCAATTTTTGTATAAGGTTATAGATTCGAACCTCACTTCCACCATTTTATCAAAAAAAATAAATCCCCCTTGGGCAGCAACCTAGGACTTCCTTGTCCATTTTCTTCTGCAGAATTCAGCAGCAGCTCAGGAGCTTGGCTCCCCTCCTAATTTCGTCCAAGAAGCAGGACTCAAGCCAAACGTGTGTCCTCATTCCTTCTTTCTTCAAGGGCTGTGATTGATTCTTCCCAAAAGCTCATCAAGTTTTGTTTTTTTTCTCCTACCAAAAAGCTACCGGAATCTTCTCCTTTTACATCATCTCTTTCCTCATTGCTTTCCACTAATTTTTGTCTTTTTTAGTTTTCTCTCCAAGCAATGTTACTTGTTCAAATGCTCCTCCCGGCATCCTGTGATACAACAGCATCCAGCTAGCAAATACATTCAAGAATAACATCAGCAGTTCATATTTTCATTAAAATCAAATATGACATTTACATAACATACAAATACTAGGTGCAGTTATAAAGTTGAAACAACAACTAAACAGACAAATTTTTTCTGAAAACAATCAACATTTAAATTCAGAAATGCTAACATAACTCTATTTGGATAGAGTTAATAGCATTGCATTCTAGAAATCACACAAATTTATAACCAACAGCCAACCCAAGCAATAGGATCAGCTGATGTCTTCAAACCTAATCCATGGAAAGGGATCAACTTGTATTTATTGGCTATAATTTATTAGTCATGTGAGCTATTAGATACAAGTGAGATGCCCGACTCGTAATGGATATGCGACTTGTTAGACTTACATAGGTGTAAATTGATTCTTCCCTCTCCCCTCTTTGAACCAACAAGGATTTTCATATCATTTAATTATACTGACTAATAGACTAATCAAGGGAAAAAGGAAGGCCACTTATGTGGTATAGACATCTTCGTAAATCTAGCATAATAAATGGAGACACCAGTTACTTTAAAATGAAACTAATTAAAAAAGAAAAAAAAAATATATATATAATAATACTTTGCTGCCCCACACGATAAAAGACAAAGACATGATATAGGTCAACATCAACATCAACAACACCTTTATCCCAAATTAATTGGGATCGGTGGTAGATGAACCCAAATGAAAGATATAAAAAGGTTGAAAAAAGAAACATAAAAGTAAATATAAAAATAAATAAATAGAATATATATATAAAAGTAAAAAAGAAAGGGAAAAGAAGAAGAGAGGAAACGAAGGGGAAAATGACTAAAAACGGACCATCTGGAACATAGGAATAACAACGGGTCTAACCCTCCACCATGCTTATAGCTTTTCTCCATTCCATCGTCTGCCAATCTATATCCCACTCCATTAAATCTTGTTTTACTACCTTCCCCCAAGTAAGTTTCGGTCTACCTCTACCTCTTTTTGTGTTGAGCTCTTGGTAACAAACTTTTATTCTCACGGGAGCATTCAGGGACCTTCTCATTACGTGCCCAAACCACCTCAAAAAGTAGAGGGGGAAAAAGTAATTTCTCTGCCTCCCTTTCCTCTTTTACTTAAACTTCGAAACTTAAATAAATTTTTTTCAATTTTGGCAAAGTTACTTCCATAAACTAAAAAAATGTACAGTGGAATAAGGCTCCTCTAGAGTACACGAGTACATTCACCTTTAAATTTCGGTGGGTAATGATCACGGTGTATTTTAAATTAAATTAAACGCAGACGCATTTTACTTGTGCAATTCTTCAGACAAACTCACATTAGAAGAATTTTTTTCTCTTAAAGGATGTCTAATCTTATGATATGTTGCATTCTAAGAATGGAGCTGATCGCACAGAGATTAATGGAAGGATGAGTGATTGACTCCTTCAAGCGTGGAGGTCAAAGAAAAGACACTATAAAGATGGTTTTCAAAGTTAAAAGGACTTCATATCCAGTTGTAGTTCAAAATCAAGTTCCAAATATACCCAAAAGAAAAAAGGCGTTAATTTCCAAAATCAAAAGTTGAGGTGTTTATTTGCCAAAGCTCAAAAGTTGAAGGGAGATTTGTGAACTTTTTCCTTACCTCTAATACGACCAAACAACATTACATCTTAATGCTTATTATATACCTCTCCTAGAACAACCAGTGTCTCCTCCTTGGATTACGTGGGATTGGTGCATCTGCAACAAAGATAAAAAAAAATAAAAATCAATAACTAATATATTCATATTCAGTATCCAAAAAATATTTGTTCATATCTATGGAAGGATAAGGTTCTATGGTAAAAAACCTCGAATTTCATATAAAGAATTGTAGTGAACCTCTGACCAGAAGCTTAACCACAACTCTGCATCATTAAGAAAGATGAAGGGAATGATAGGAATAAGAGGATACTAAAATTGACAATTTCAAAAGATCAGATTAGTTTTAAAGTTCATGTGCAAATAGACATTTCAAAAGTGCGAGTCCTTTTTCTTTCCCAGATGAAGTTCATAAGCAAGTCAGCAAATCTCATCATTAAGTTCTTCAATCTAGTTAAGAATTTTTTGGGCCTGAGACTAAAAGTCCTATGAACTTATTGAATTAATTACAAGAAGCATGCACTTTTATCCCACATTACGGAAAAGCATAAACTGTTTTTGGAACTACATGTTACTAGATTTCAGAATATTTCAAGGAGGACCATCCATAACACCTCTTGACGCACATTAACTTCATTGAATCTACATATTAAAACTCTTGAAAAAACATGTCACCTTTATTAAGATCTTCCTGTACATAATCTTGAAAATTCGTAAGACTAAAGTAATTGAGGTAAATAATAATGATGATAACAATCTTACCACGCTTCGGAGCTTCATATAGTGGCATAATTTCGATGAAACAAGTGTCTCTGAATGATGTCAAAAGGCATATCTTTGCTGCAAACTACATTAAAAACAAGAAACATCATACATCATGTTGACAATAATACACAAGTAGTGAAATCATATTTTACTAATTTAGCAAAAATAAGAAGCACAAGTCAGTCTGAGAATTCGATGCACCAAGAAAATTGAGAATGCATCTTTCAACCTCTACGAGAGAGATAGAACCATTGCATGAACTCTTAATGGCATTGCAACTTAATAAAATTGCATTACTGTAATATTGTCATTGTCATTATTGTATTTATATTTGATTTGCCCATTTTTTATAAAAGTTGTAGCACAAGCAAGCTCTACATTTTGGATTTTCGAGTACTCAGATGGGTATCAAGATATATGGCCAGGATATCTCCATACACTTGATTGATGAGGTCAAAACAACCCTTCCATTTTAAGGTCTTCAATAACCAGAATCATATAGGCAAAAAACACAACAACAGCATGTCTGATCTTCAACCCCATACGCAGCATCACTTTTCCTTAACCAAAAGTGCTACTTAGATTTCACAGCATATAACAAACGCAACAAGCTATTTGAACACAGCAAACCTTATCAGCAGCTGCCTGCAAGGTAACATGGTCCCCCCATTCTCCAGATCTGTCATGTGGTAGATAAAAGGAAAATGCAGTAAGTTGGATGAAAATGCCAATAAAAGAACCTGCAAATGTTACTCATTTCATATATAAGCAATAGTTCATCTGAAAGTCACCTACTTTGCCATTTTCTTGTAATACTGTTTATACTTCATTGGTACATAGCATTCATATAAGGAACGGTGATCTTTGAGCTGGAAAAGAGAAACGACATGGAAATTAGCATCTCAAGCTATCTATTTGCATTGTTTAATGGAGTAATATATTTCATATTGATCCACCCTCTAGTACACAAGGATTTGTACCACTTCCATCATATATGATATAATCATCTAACAGCTTTGTGAAGTATAACCTATAGTTTATCAACATCTCATACCTCTTTTCATTTTTCTTCTCTTTTAAAGACACTTTTAACTCTTTAAATAGTTGTTTAGCAACTGCACGCACCCTTGGTAAACAATTTTCAACTTAATCAATAACAATCCAAGAAACTAGTTACTAAAAAGCTACTAAATCCCTCTTCCTAGCCTCCTTTTGAGAATGTGCTCATTAATTCATCTACACATCAGCAAATTTACTTTTGCTAACCTAGTTAATCAATCACAATCCAAGAAACCAGATGTCCTCATAGCTAGACATTTTTCAGAGGCATTGTTCTTTCCACATGACCAACAAAACCAGATGTCCTCACAGCATACATACCTGTTTTACAATCTCTTTTCGAACATGCTTGTGGTGTTCAGGTGACCTAAAAAGCTGGTCCGAAAGTGCACGGAACTGCAATATGTGGAGAATCATCAATAAAATATAAAAAGGATTATGCTTGTTAACTGTTTCTATGATAAGATACCTGACAGTTTCCATCCCCAGCGATTCTAACTTCACATAAACCATAGATGGTCAACCTTAATAAAGTGAGAGAGAGTAATTTAATACCTCCAACAAAGAGTAAATGGATAGCAGGAACAAGTATACAACAATTTACTAGCTGAGCTGATACTCATTATTTTACTAATCTAGATGCCTATGACATATCACAACAACTGTAAAGAGCCAAAGCAACAGAGTTTCAAAATCCCATAAAGCTTTAAGTTCCAAATTTTGATGCTTCAGAATCTGTATTCCACATACATAAATGTCAATAATTGATTTAACCATAAAAGTTTTCTTTTACGTGTTCTCTTATAAAGCTTTGAAAATTGGCCATATACTGCTCTTATCAAGAGTTTTTATGGCAGCTATTTAGGTTTATTTTACTAGCCTTAACCACGTGGTTTCCTAAATATGCCACTTTATACCTATATTCATGCCCTACAACTCCCTCCACTATATGGCACAACACGTCTTTACCTAAGTAATTTTCATTTGAACACCCAATTTGTATGTGCTGTTCCTACTTATTTTAATTAAGAAAGATTATACAAAATACTTACAGGATCAGTTATGTTTGGTTATTTTATGCCCCTGCTCATTATTTTAATACCCATGTCTTTCTGCTAAAAGAGTATAGATTGAAACTTCGAAGCTTTAGAATTTTACTAAAAAGATATATCTGGATATTATATATAACTAAAAGAAGACATACCTCTGAAGAAGACGCTGGTGATCCATGCTAGCATCATTCATGTTGGGGATGAAGGAATTAATTCGGGGCACATGCTGAAATTTCAAGAAATTGGAATTATAAGAAATTCAGAAAAGCATAAATATTCAGAAATCCCATCCTTTCAATTTCCTATTACAAAAGAGAAGTGTGCCCATCTAGGTAAGTCTAACTTTCTATGTGATGACAAATAAACAATGCAGATGAAACAAAATGCAGAATGATATGAAAATACCAAGAAGAACGTGACCCTTTTAAAGTGTTAAATCAATTCCTTCTCCTCCATTATATCTAAGTGATGCAATATACATACAATTAGCAATACAATTTTATAACAAGGGATTTGAAAAGCAAAAATCAAACATGGCAACAAAATTAAGTATCAGCTAAGTATGACCATGACTAGTCCAACAATCAAAGTTCAAGAGTTTTTGTCAGATAAATCAGGGAACAACAGAAAGGTAAAGAATTCTTACCGGAACAGGTGCCAAGTTGGAAATTCGTCTACCAACTGTACCATCCAATTTGGCATACTCTTCTGATAGCACAAGGGCAATCATCCGGTCATCCTCAATATCTTGCTGACTGCTAAGGGAAGTCGAACTGGAACTTTCACCCCAGTATTGAGTTCCATTCATCATATCCTTAGCTGGCAATCACTCGAAGCTTCAACCTCAAGTTCAAATTTACAACAATCCTCAGCTACTAAACCTGCAAAAAGACTTCTACTGTCATGGAAATTCCAAATTCCCCCACCAAGTGACAACTTCTCACATCTCTAAATGGAACATTCAACTAAGAAACACTGACATGATACACCAATTGAAAAATGAAGCCAGTTTGAAGAGTATAGAATGTTGAACCATTAATATAACATTCACCTAAGCTTTTGGATTAAATTGATTCTTTACATGATATCAAAACTCTGTGACTAAGTGATAATGAGTTTCATCCTCACTGTTCCATTCTATTAATAAATAGTTAAATATTATGGAGTTTCTTAACGTATATGTAGATGAGGCCATGGTCCACCCTTCAGGTCCAATGAACTTGAAGGGGACGTGATACACAAATATAAAAACCATTAATATAACTTTCACCTTATAGCTTATGGTCCTTTATAAAGAGAAAGAAAACCAAAAATACACCAACAGTTTCATATATGCAAAGATTCAAATTCAATGGCACTATCACAGGAAAAGTCCAAATTTGATCAATAACGCAGCAATTGACAAACTGTTGTTAAGATTAGCTAAATATAACTTATATAGATATTGATCATAAATGATAAATGGGCAGAATCCAAACGGGATTAGCTTGAATTCTGACAAACCCTTTTGGTTATCCAATTGATAAGTGTTGGGTTTGACAATATATACAATCCCATCGGAGATTTTGATGCCAATAAAAAATGTGAGAAGAAACTACCCATTACCCAAAAGCATAAAATGGTTGAAAATTAGCACAATCCAATGCTATATATACAATGAAGATAAAAAAGCAATTAATCCATATATATGTATATATACCTGGGAATCTTTTGCTGCGATTAAATGAGTACTTCTGATGTTAATGAAGTAATGCAATGAATGGGTTTGAGAAAGACGAAGGAAACATAAGGTGTAAAAAAACAGAGAAATCTTCACCACCAAAAGAAGAGAGATAGAGATTTCGAAAATCGGGTTTCTGGGATTGATGAAGAATAAATGCAGAAACGTCAATGGTTACGTTATTAGACACAACCACCTAAATGCTAAATGTAATGCAAAAACGTCAACGGTTATGTTATTACACACAACAACCTCGTTAAATGGATGCCATGCGAAGTTGAAGAAGATATTTTTTTATTTATTTTTTAGGTAAACAAGAAGATATTTATTGCCCATTATTTAAAAAAAAAAAAAAAAATTCAATTTTTAATCATTCACCAGGAAATACTATTCTTCCTTCCCGCCGCAGAAGAATAGTATTTCCGATATTTATTACAAGGTGAGGATCATCTTGCATCATATAATAATAATAAATCTTATACATTTTGATTTCAATTGTGTGTAATGATTAACATAATTAATAAATTTTCATTATTAAATATAAGTAAAATAATAATGATTAATAATAAATGTAAGACTTTCATTTATTATTTTATTTTTAATATATGATTTTAAGTCAATTTGACTTTATTTTTATTTATTGGTATTTTCTATTATTTAAATTTGATCAAATTGAATGTTTGCTCAAAATCTATCCCATTATCGTGACGTGTTTGTTATATTATTACATAATTCTCATAATAATTAAATTCTTTAATACAACATAACACATACTCAATAGTAATTTTAATATATATATATATATATATATATATATATATTAAAATTACTATTGAGTATGTGTTATGTTGTATTAAAGAATTTAATTATTATCATGAATTAAAAATTGAGTTTTTATTTTGATATAAAATTAAATGGATTAATCCCAAAAAAACTATAAAAAGGAAGCTAAAAAATCTCAAAAAATAATTGAAAAAAATAGTATAATCAGAACAAAAAAAGTGGATAAATGGACAAAGTTGGTTGGCGGGTGAAAGCAAAGTTTGGTAAGAATTAGCTGAGACTATGTTTACAGGTTTACTTGAGAGTTGAGACCAATCGTCTAAATTGTCTGGGTATTGCATCATCCCGAGTCATGAGTTGATGAGTCACAAGTCACAGCATAAAATACCTTTGCTTGTTTAGTTCTTTTGTCTATATATATAACTAGGGAAATATAAGAATCATGGCAGGAATGACACTCTTCATTTCTGCAACAAGGATCCGGCAACGTATCTTGAGGATACGGCTGGTTTGACTTCTTTTTTTAAGCGTGAGACCCACACTTAATTTGTGTGTGCAGGAAAATGGTCTTATCATGTGACATGACAAAAAGCGAACTCATATAACTATTGTTCTTACTTCTTGTTTCACTTCACAAAAATTAATGTTAACATAAAAAAAAAGCAAAATGTATTTTTCTGTTGCAGTAAATTGTTTGTGTCATGTCACTCTCAGCTCGTAAAACATGTCTAATTTTTTTTTTTAACAAAAACTAGTGGGACCCAGCTTGTTTCTATGTATAGGAAAATTTGGTAATCTTCTGCTACAATAGAAAAACAAAGCCCTAAAAAAAATCTTTTATAATGATTTGGATAATTATTTTCCTTAAATTAGATTTTAAGAATAAGTCATAACTTAAAATTAATCCATTTCTAATTCTAATTATAGAGAAATAATGATAGGATTATGATTTTTGTAGAACCCATTTGGATGAGCTTTTGAAAGAAAGAAAAAATTATACATTGTTTTTTAGAAGAATTTTTCTTAAAAGGTAAAACTATTCTGGATTTATCAAAAAAAGTATTTTTAACTAAAAAAATATTATTTGGATGTTAAAATTAAAAAATATTTGTTATATATATAATTATTAAAAAGAACATGTGAAAGAAAATTATAGAAGCAAGATTTAGGTTTAGGGTGATAGCTAGGGGTGTTAACGAGTCGAGCTGAGCCGAGCTTTGATATTAAAAGGCTAAGTCTGTATTTAAATGTGTTAGCCTGACCAAGCTTGTTACCTGTTATAAATATAATTGTCGGGATGTGGCCTGGCTTATTTACAAAAAATAAAAACCTGATTTAGCCTGTTAGCTTATTTAAAAAAAATTAGACAACAAAAATTTATCTCAACATAATATACAATCAACAACACTAGTAATTCCATAAATATTCATAAATTCAATGTATATCCAAACAGCATAATATAGAACAAAATCATTCAAAAAGTCTATTTAACCAATAAAATGGGGTGAAATAGATTGAGGAGAAAGAGAAGGCTATTACAAGTAGTATAAAAAATAAAGAATAAAGAATAAAGAATAATATACTAGGCCAGACTGAGAGGCTCTAAGGCCGAGCTTTTGAATTGGAGCTTGAGGCCTTTTTATTAAACGAGCTTTTATACAAGTTCAAGCCTTGTACCAACAACCAATTTTAGACATGTAAGTTCAGGCCTTCACGAGCCGAGCCAAAGGCCCCTGGTTCGTTTAGCACCCCTAGTGGCAACAACAACAACAATAACAACAAAAATAATAATTCAAGCAAGATTTAATAATAGTAATGGTGGTGATGGTGATGGAGTTATCGAAGTTTGGGTTGGGACAAATTTAAATTTTGATAAAAGAATTTGATTTTTTACTTATATTTTTTTATAAGTTTAATTTTTGTGTGGCTTTTTCCAAATATTTGTTTAAGAGGAAGGTTATACTTATAACCTCTTACAATCATATATTTATTGTTGATTTCTGTCATTTAATGGTTATTGTTTTTGCAAATCAAACTCATTAATTAATTATTAATACATAATAAATGATAATCGTTGATTGACAAAAATTAACGATGAAGATATGGTAGTAAGAGGTTGTAAACGAAAATAGGTTATAAGTATAACCTTCCTCTTTTTTCGTAATTAGTCACCCTCTACTATTCAAGGTATTTTTTTTTGTAAATAAGGTATTTTAATTCAAAAGCTTAACTATATTTTGGTGCCAAGGCTCACCTTAATTTTATATATCCATTTTTTATGCCATAATTGATGATTTTTTACATTCTCTTTCTCCTAGGAGAAAGAGAATGTAAAAAATCATCAATTATGCACAAAAATGACGTCATTTCATGTAAAATGACACAAAGTTGTATCCTTTAAAATGAAAAACATTTTTCCCTTTATATATATATATGAGATTAATGTTTCTCATATTGTAAGAACTAATTTTATCTCCTCCTATACACACATAAAAGTGTGTGGGTCCCATATTTTCTTTTTCTTTATCTTCTCTTCACACGGTCTTGCATGGACCCCACACACTTTTATGTATGTATTGGAGATAAAAATATCCCATACAATATGAGAAATATTAATTCATATATATATATATAGGAGGGATATTTTTACTACCAAAAAAATTACTACCAACCCACTACCTCTATAATCACCGTTGGATTAAAGAGAGAGAATGTTAAAAAAAAATTAAGAGAGAAAAAATGTTGATCCAATGGTGATTATGGAGGTAGTGGGTTGGTAGTAAATTTTTTTGGTAGTAAGAATATTTCACTTATATATATGAGGAAGATTATACTTACAACCTATTTTTGTTTAAAACATTTTACAACCATATCTTAACTATTGATTTTTGTCAATCAACAGTTATTACTTTCGCAAATAAAACTCATTAATTAATTATTAATTCGCAATAAATGATAACCGTTGATTGACGAAAATCAACGGTTAAGATATGATTGTAAAAGGTTGTAAACAAAAATAGGTTGTAAGTATAAACGTTCTCTCTCTCTCTATATATACATATATATATATATATATATATATGAGATAGGATCATTTGACACCTCATCTGAAAGCCATTAGATCAAAAAAGATCAATGACTCTGATTTGTAAGCATGTGACACCATTGATCTTTTTTGATCTAATGACTCTCAGATGAGGTGTCAAACTTCAAATTTGACACTGGTGTCAAAGAATCCTACCTCTATATATATATATGAGGTAGGATCATTTGACACCTCATCTGAGAGCCATTAGATCAAGATAAATCAACGGTATCACATGCTTACAAATCAGAGTCATTTATCTTTTTTGATCCAATTGCTCTCAGATGAGGTGTCAAATTTGACACCGATGTCGAAAGATCCTACCTATATATATATATATATATATATATATATATATATATAAGGCTTATCGTTTCTCAAGTTGCTCGAGAAAAATTTCTCTGACTACTAAATCATAACCGTATAAAGATGGATCAATGGTAATAAAGGAAGAGAGAGAAAGAAAGAATCATAACCATTCAAAGGTGAATCAATTAATATAAGGAAATAAATAAACAAAACGACGTGGTTTTGGGGTGGACGGAGATAAATATATCTTAAGCTGCTTGAGAAATATTTTTCGGGGAAGGATATTGTGACAACCAAGTTGTGTTACTACCAAGTGACTACCAATAAATCTCACCGTTAGATCGATTATGTTGATTCAACGGTTATATTTATTTCCATCTTTGTATGATCATGATTCCCCATATTTAAAGTGAAAGCATTAAATATGGGAAATCATAACCATACAAAGGTGAAAATAAATATTAAGCGGGAAATCATAACCATACAAAGGTGAAAATAAATATAAAGTATTAAATATGGGGAATCATGAGCATACAAAGATGGAAATAAATATAACGTTGGATCAACATAATCGATCTAACGGTAAGATTGATTGGTAGTCACTTGGTAGTAACACAACTTGGTTGTCACAATATCCTTCCCCATATTTTTCTTATATATATGTATATATATATATATATATATATATATATATATATATATATATAAAGGTTTAAATTTCTCCGGCCGCTTGACGTCTAGCAATCAATTATTTACCATATATATAGCTGACAACATTAAATGTGATGAATCATAATCATAAAAAATGTGAAAGCATTAAGTGTGAGTAATCATAACCATACACTTGTATTGTTGGATGTTAAGCGATTGAAGAAATGATTTTACTATATATAGCTCACAACATTAAATGTAGGGAAGCATAACCATACAAAAGGTGAAAGCATTAAATGTGATTAATTATAACC